GGGTAAGAGAATTAAGTAAAATTTTTATTCATTATATGTTATGCTTTCAGAGGTAAGTTAAAACTTTTCACGTCAAAACATTCCACCATCTTTCTGTTTACACTGTATTTTTGGAAGTTACCGAAAGTGTAATTCTATAAAAGAATAATTTTATTTGGCATATAACACACTGTGACACAGTATCGTTCACTTACTTACGACATTTCCAGAATAGCTTATTGCTCGTCATCATATGAAAATGTTCACATAACTTCCAGATTTCATTAATATAGTTACACTATTTCCTATCTTTTGATTTTATTGGTAATAATACTTTTTAATATTAGTTACAGGATTTCATCATGAGTTGACATCAGTTAGAGAACCATTGGAAAACCCGTAAGGAGCACTGGACAGCTAGATGTTTCGTTCTCGTCTGAGACTTCGGCAGCACGCACCCACCACCAGCGTTCAAATCCACGACCTTCTAGTTACAAAGGCGAGCTCGTAGACCAATGAGCCACTGGGACCCAATCCAATGGCCCATTAATTCCAAAATACCGATACTTGAAAACTTTTCAATATGTCTGATATCGATATTGCGTTACTTCTTCTTCAAAAGTCTGGTGTGAGGACGCTACTCACAACTTGGTGTTCAGAGTCACCAAGTTTGAGGAGTATTAGTGTTTCTAAATTCATCCGAGTATGTAAGCTTGTTTCGGACTAAAAGCTTAAGTTAGGTTGCCTAGATCAGTGACTGAAAGTGTATTGTATTCTAGTTATAATCTGGTGAAGAAAAGCCACATTTGATGGTTTTACTTTGCAGTTCATCGGCAGGTAATCGAAGCCTGAACATGTGCTTGGTTGGCAATCATTATACCGTAGGACCGCTGAAGTGCAGTTATTCCAGTTGCTGGAGAATTATTTCAGCTCTAGTAATAGCATACCAATTTGTATTGCTGAGTGCATAAGTACACCATCGTAAGAAAATGAGACTTCATTTCGTCTTCGATTAATATCTATTAGATTGGTGAATATGAGTCGGTGGTTCAGCGGTAGAACGCTCGCCAACGACGCACGTGGTCTGGAGTTCGATCCTTGACCAACGAACTCCTTTACCTTCCTAAGCCGACAGTGAGGCCGATAAAGAGGGAAGGTTAAGTGTGCGGTTAGCAAACCCCCACAGGAGAAAAATATAACCACTGCTACTTAAACTTCAAAGCTCTGGCTTGAAGCCCTTTGCTCCACTCAGAACGTAAAGAAATAAAAATATATTGATGAATAATTTTGGCTAATTTGATTCGCTCACTATTTAGTGTTTAGAACATTATAGATGAGAATATTTAAAAAAAAAGAAAATTTGTACTATGCTAATAATACTAGAGACAGATACTTGATTCGTTATTAAAAAAATATTTTTCCTCTTCAGTGACGTCATTAGCTGAAGAAATGTTTTTCTATGCACAAAAATGATGGAAGGCTTGTACTTATCACCGAAAAATCAACTTCAAATCATATTTATATGTATAGACATTAGACAATGGGAAAAAAACAAAAAGACGGTTGTAGCGAAGAAAATTTTCTTTTCCACGAAGTTATCAACTAGACTGTACATTCGTGAATATATAACAGAGAGGTGAGAATGTTTCAGAACTTTTCCTCGTCGAAGTTCAAATTATAACGGATAACAGGATGAAGGGATTATAAACATAATAATAAGGAAAATAATTATGAAGTACAGATTAAAATAAGCAATTAAATAATAACCATTTTCTTGAGAAGACAAACTGTTTAAAATGGTCATGGTATAGATTACAAGTTGGATGTATCTCTTTAGGAAATATAGCCTGGGCTTGAATTTTTGGATCTCTAACACTTCAGCTATACCCAAATGTCTTGATTTTACTCCCTTTGAGAGGTTTTGGGGAGTCTTGTATAGGACTTCGAAGGATTATTCAAATGGAACTGAGTGTGTCCTGAGTTCACTAGATGTTCTTTTACTGAACTACAGACACACCTACGGAACACCTGATGAACTCAGGACATTCAGCTCCATTTGTACTACCTTTTGAAGTCTTTTATAACTAGATTGTATCAAACCTCTCAAAGGGAGTGAGGTTTACTTTAGTAATTAAATCAATATTATCACTCTCACATGTTCCTTTTGTACGTTTTCTCGCTGAATAACAGTATTAACCTAATCAAATTTCTAACCCTTTCTTCCTCCGTGCCGTTGAGTATTACGTAATTTAAAACTTTTATTTTTACTTATAAAGTTACTTCTGAGTAATTATATCAATTATGTCATCCCCCTTACTACTCAATAATAGACTGCTATACATTTTTGGTGAATATAAATATACATAAATACGACTGTACAGCCGCCTCTGAAGATGATTTCGTCAATGAAGAAAATTTTCTTCGCTGAATTTGTCTTTTGTTTTCTTCATGACTCAGTGGGTATTTTTGGTGATCAGAATTGTTTGTTTAAAGACTTCTGTTAATGCCTTAGATGAATAAGCTTTTATGCAATGGCTGATTAGTGGTCACATTTCTCTTGTTCATATCGTGATAAAAGTTACACCTGTAGGATAAGCAGTGGCTATTTTTTTTGTAAAACTGGGGTCTATTCTCGAAACCTTCAAAGGTTATAGATTCACCGATTGGGTTTTTGTTAACAATTATAGTCCATAAATTCAAGTCACAATTATTTATTTCAAAAGGTATCATATGTTATCGTACAGGATAACTAATTATAAAAATATTACTCTTAGTCTACCAAAGGATTACCGTTCTCTGAGGTATGTAATATGTAACTGGTGAAATCAGTTTTTGTGAGTACATGACCTCTGGTGTAAATATGATTATGAAATCAATGAAACTATTAATACCTTCTTTTATTGTAGACTATAAGTCAAAACAAAGAAGTTTCATAGAAAAGTTTTTCTAAATTATATTTGACATTTGTTTCAAAATCAAAGTTTTCAATATTTCAATCTTAACTGACAAAAAGGAAGTCATTAGTCTTTTTTGTCATATCTACTTCTGGTATGCACATTTATGCGGCTACAAAACTGGTGTAAATCAAGCACCAGTAATTACCAAAGGATAAGCGACCTTGAACTCACCAATCATATGATCAAGGCAATATTTACAGACAAAATACTTACATTCATGAAATTAATAAAGAATTAAAAGGCATGAAACCGTTACACAGGGTACCTTTCTCTGACGTGTGACAAAAATACCCCTCAGTTTTAAACTGGAGCATTAACATAATAACTTAACCATACTCCATGTATGTGATTTCTAGCTCTTCTAACCCTAATCTTTCTTTAACCTAACCCTAAAGTGAAAATATTCTTAAACTAGTCCTAATCCAACTCGAACCAACCCTTATGTCGCCCTCATTAGGTTAACCTAACGCTAACATGCCTCAGCCTAAAACTTTAACTTCATCTTTCCCAAACCCAACTTGAAAATTGTCAGATATCCTATTTAGTAATATAACACTTCATTAGGCATATTTTACTCATAATCACAGCATTATTTACTAGGTTTCACTAATATGTTCACTGAACATCTAAAGGTTATTGGTGTGGTCACACTCCACTGATGGTACTTACTTGTGTTTAAAGCCTAACTTTCACATAAATCATTAATAATTATGCGTGATTTATCAAATACTACCAGTCAAATTTATGTGCGTCGGTGGCATAGCGGTTAGGACACTCACCGACCATGCACATGGTCCGGGATTCAATCCCCGGCCGCCAACGCACTCCTTTACCTCGCTAAGCCAGAAATAATGCTGGTAAAGAGGAAAGGTTGGGCATGAGGCTAGCAACCTTACCCTGTAAAAATAAAAACACTGCTACAGAAACTTCAAGCCACTAGCTTGAAGCCCTATGTTCCACTGGAGAACGTGAAGGAAAGAAAAAAATACCAGTCAAATTTCATAATTTCACGGCTATTTCTCCTCACAACTGATATCAAAACACAATTTACTAATATGCAAATAGACATTTTAAGCCTATTACCTGAAAAAATATGCAGAAAAGAGTGGAAGAGCATTGGACACACACACATACACAGTGAGGAGACCGTTGAATAACATCACACAGCTAGGCAAATCACCCAAACAAGAAAGGATGATTTGGGCGTGGATCTCAAGACGATCAATTTGACAGGAGATCGTATCAGGTGCAAAATGAAAGCTAATGGGTTAAGAAAAAAAACAACAGACTACGTAGAATGCGGTGAAATAGAAATAGAACTTCTGAACTTCCGTATGTTCCACTCAGAACCCAAAGAAATCAATATAGCAAAAGTAATAACAATACTAGTGATAGTACACTAATGTGATGTTACCTTTCCTTTTTCCATGTGACACTCGTTTATAAACAGCAGCAGGGGGAAAAAATAGCACACAATTACGCCGGTGTCATCTGTTTATGTACTGTAGATGTATATATATTTATATATATATACCATTGGTTTTATATCTGTTTTTCTAAGTGAACAAGCGTGTACACTTTAAAACAATGCCATTAATTATAAAAGGCACATTATTTTCACACACCAGGCGAGAGAGAGAGAGCGACGGAGGTAAAGTATAATTTATGATACACACGGCTTAAATATTATTATTATTATATACATTTGTGCTACTATTTTTATGATAAAATTCTACACACACAATACAATGATGTTATGTAGTTGAATAAGAAAAGACGAATACTGCTAATACAATAAATACATCGGCTTTCGCTTTTTTTTGTCTGAGAAAAAGAGATGAGTGAAAAGGAAAGAAAGGTAGAGGAGAAGTGAGGACATAAAAGTACACGCATATAGTACAGTACAGTACACTGCGCTACACCACACTACACTACACTACCCGGTAGACATAACACTAGTCGTTTACGAGGACAAAATAAAGTGCAAAAGAAAAAGACGTTATAAATGATTGCAACATAAGAAAGAAAGAAGCAAAAGAAATAAAAGAAGATTTGTGAACTTACCGATAATTAAGAGGATTATTTTAAACCATATCAGTGGTATTAGTGATGATGATAGTTGCATTGTCGTCGGCATCGTCACCATCAGCGTCATCGTAATCGGTATACTTATCCGTGATTATTATTAATAGTAGTAGTAGTAGTAATAGTAGTACCAGAAGCGTCACTATAGTCCATTAAGAGGTGATAAATCTTTTCCATAGAGAAGATAAATTATTTTTTCTTATATACGCACACATATACGTAGTATATATACATCTAATTTAATAACATTGTACATTGTGTTATGCATTGCATACTACTCTACTGATTCAATCAGGAATGGATCAACAATAACATAATCAACTTGAATATTATTATCATATTTATCATTATTAGTACTATTATTATTATTAATGATCATAATCAAAATATCCTTTTTGCATGTGAGATAAGTGATGATGTTGATGATGATGATGATGAATGGTTGTGTTCTCGCCTGGCTAATAATCAAAATGTTCCGTGTGTATGTGTGTGTAAACACAATATAACAACCCAACACAACACAACACTAGGAGTGATGTGCTGTGTTTTCTACTGTAAGATGAACTTTTGCTAGGCCTACGTGTATACACCCCCGATAGACAACAATTGTTGTGCATACATTTCTTGTGCTATATTATTGAAAGTTGAATAAATACATTTATATTTTTTTAAATACGAGGTGTATATATGGGAATGGTATGTTGTGTGTATGCATGATTATTATTCTTATTCTTATTATTATTATTACTATATGCCTGACAAGTTTGCCGGTGGTTGGTTGGTGGTTGACTGGCTAGACAGACATAATATGATGATGATGATGATGGTAGATATATGCAAAACTATACGAATATATATGACCTTGTGATCAAGAGAGGAGTGTATATATGTGTGTATCAATCAGAACACAAAATAGTTTAAGTGTTGTTTAAATGAATCAAATACATAAATAAATAAATAACCCATTTGAATGATGGCTTTTTAAAATAAAAATGTACACACAATGCGAAAGTTTCCTAATCATCTTCAAAACATTATTAACATCCAGTGTTGGAGTATAATAAGGTGGTGTATTTTCGAACAAAGAGAGTTTAAGGAGAGAACAGGATAGGACAGACAGGCCTATGTCCCAAACTAGGACGAAACAGCTGTCCAGTACTCCCAGGTTTTCCAGTGGTTCTCTAACTGATGTCAGCTCATGATGAAATCCTCCATACAATTAAACAAAATCCCTACCAAACCAATACTTGAAAAAAAAAAATAACTCAAAACATTTCAGACTGAAAATCATCACTAGTGCTGACTCAAAATAATAAATAATAAATGTGCAGTTGACAATGCACACGCTGGTTAACCAATCAGAATACTATTAGGGGTTAGATAGTATATTACTATTATTATAATAGGCTTGGCCTTAAAAAACAACACACCTATGTATGTATTCGTCTAGACTATTGAACTAACTTAACCCTTTGAATGTCAGTGTCTTGACAAAGAGATGAAGTTCAGTTTAAGGCTGAAAAAAGCTGATGGCGCTAAATGGGGCATCATTATTCACTTGTGAAAAGACAAACAACAATAAATTTCAAGAATTAGTTTGGTGGGATTCTATTTGTTTCAAGTTAAACCACGGACTGATATCAGTTAGAGAATCATTGAAAATCAGGGAGTACTGGACAGCTGTCTTGTCCTACTTTGGGACTCATCGGTAGTACGCACCCACCACAAAGAGTTCGAACCCAGGACCTACCTGTTACAAGGCAAGCTCGTTTGCCCTTCAGTCACTAAAACGTGATTAAATGGGCAGCTCATGAATTCTAGCTTCTATCCACTACAGGACGAAGTTGCCTGGAGTTCTAATGATAAGTCGTGACCAGTGGGGTCCATCCAGTCGGAAGTGAGGATGAAGTTCCCGCCAATAGCATTGGTTGGTAGTCAAGCTAAAATCACCAACTGGTAGAAGTTGGAATTCATGGGCTGGTCATTTATTCACGTCTCAGTAAGTGAAGGGCACACGAGCTTGCCTTGTAACCCGAAGGTCCTGGATTCGAACCCTGGCGGTGGGTGCGTACTGTCGATGATTCTCAAAAACTAGGATGAAACAGCTGGCTGTCCAGTGCTCCCTGGTTTTCAATAGTTCTCTAACTGATGTCAGTCCGAGGTCTAACCTTAAACAAACAGTTTGCAATGATTCAGACTGACTCGGCGCTCAGATTTTTCCAGGAAATTCGTTAGATATTCGTTACGAACAAACATCATTTAAAGAGATCATTGAAAACTAGGCAGCAGTGGACAACAACTAATAACAATAATAATAATGATAATAAATAGCTGTATTGTGAACAAAATTTCCGGTGAAGATTGTTGCATGATATTTTTCCTTCGTACAGGATCTTCAAATAAAATTAATTAACTGACAGTAGATCCCTTGACACATAGCTGTCTTACCTGAAGGGGAAACTAACCTTTTATGATGATATTTTGTCTTTTTTTCATCTTCGAAAAATGCTCGACATTTAGTTGAAAGTCATTTATAAAAAGTTCAGGTGTATATTTTGAGACCCAAGGACATAACACAGGGAGGGTTATCTAGTGTATTCCGATACTTTGCCGCCACCCCTGTCCCCGCGCTTATACTTTTTCCTAAGTTTAGTAAAAATATGCAAATCATCAACAGGCTGTAAAGGCTATAAATACTCGCGAGGGGAAACAATGGCATTAGGGGACATATTTTAATAGGTTAAAATAAACTGAACAGGAGAAATTATATGGAATGCCGTGGTAGAGGCTTTCGGTAGTACGAGTTTTAAGTAGGTCACAGGTTGAAAAGTTGAAAAGCCATTTTGTCTTATTTGCAGACATTCCAGCAATACGCACCTACAACCCTATAAGTGATCGAACACAGGACCTGAAAGTTATGAAACCAAGTTCGTTGACCATTCACCCACTTCGGCTGGAAATTTTTGACTCGTGAATTTTAACACTGTCAGCTCGTGATATAATGCTGTTCTCACCAATACCTTCGATAAACATGCACTTCACAATGACCTACTATGAAACCCACTGGTGATGCCTTCTCACTGAAGCTTCAGGAAATCCATCCAACAGCTATCAGTCGGTTGGACAATGAATTAATTACTGGTTTACATATTAAATCAATCATCACAGTACTCTTTGAATATACTATGCTATCCTTAACCAGTGATTTATATGTGAATGGTGAAAGGATTCGAGTGGTGGAAATGGAATAAAATTTTGATGACGGCATAAAATTGACTCATCACCTTTATATCATTCACGCCATCTAGGACGACCTTCAGTTCCCTGCAAACCAACACTTGAATATCATTCTGATTCTCACTAGTGACTAGCCCTATTCAAGTAGGCACTTACCTGGGTTCTAGTGGTAAGTTGTGACCAGTGAAGTACAGCAGGTTGGGTGTGGAGACAAATATTTGCCAGCGACGACATTCGCCAGTGGTCGCATCATATCGTGAATCGGCACAAGTTGGAATTCATGCACCGGCATTTGGATCAGGTCCCAGTGGCTTAATGGTCTACGAGCTAGCTCGCCTTATAACCAGAAGGTCCTGGGTTCGAAAATCATTGGGTGCATACTGCTGAATAGCCTTAAAACTAGGACGAAACAGCCGGCTGTACAGTACTCCCAGCTGGTTTTCCAATGGTCCCCTAACCGATGTCAGTTCATGATGAAATTTTGAAACCGATCGAATCGCTGAAAGCCAACACTTGAAATTCTAAATTCTTTAGGTGTCTGGACAATTATATTCAAAGAACTATGTTTTTTATGAAATATATGATGGAATCACCTTGATTATTGTACATCATATGGTAGTGTTCTATGTTAGGCGAGTAAAAGCCGTATGTTGTGATGGAAACCATAAAGACTAGGTACCACAGTTGAAGGTCGAACAACCAGTCGAAAACGTCTTGTGAAATGCTGACATTTATTGTGTAGAAAAGTTTATTTTATGCCACATTTATATATATATGTGCAAAAAATGATTTACAGGGGATATAGAGCTCTCGTATTCTGGAAAAATATATCTAAGTTTCTCGTGGGTTTATTAACGGTATTATGGAACCACTTGTACCGGAAGGTCCTGGGCTCGAACCCTGGTGGGTGAGTACAGCTACAGAGTTTCATACTAGGACAAAATAGCTGTCAGAGGATTCACTAACTGAGAAGAGTCCTTTATCAAGCTTGAAAATACCAAATCCTGGCTGACTAACTCTTCAAGGTTTCTGTGCATGAACTATGTGACCGATAGTTCAAAGTGATTTTGCGATACCTTGACTGTGGTATTTATTCCTTATAGTTACCCGTTTTGGCAATTTGGATGTGCGTGTGTGTTTGAAAGAAAGCAGTTAAATACAAGTATAAAGAAGTCGACGGGGACAGTTGTTCATGGTCAACGTTAATAAGAAAAACAAATGGTTTTCCTCGGGAGGATTGTTAAAGTTCACTACATACCGAAGTAAGAGATGAAAATTTTGTCTAGTAAAAGACTATGGGAGCTTCCAGTTAAATTATACAGCATAGAAAAGACACATAAGAGTCAGTAAGTTGCAAAGTTAATGAATAAGACTTGAGTTTTTTTATTCATGGTTTTTTACTTTGCTTGGCCACTAGGTGGTAGTGAATGTCATGCGTCTAGTAAAACACTTAAGAGGAAGACTGATTTCTTTCAGTCGCGTTTGTAATATGGCCACCATACTAGGTGACTCGCCATTATGGTGCAAACTGAAATGATGTCAGGTAATCAGAGGCAATCAGTGGGAAGCTTTGAACCTCTTCTTTAGTCAGAGACGTACTAGGTGGCAAGGGTTTGAATCTCAGGAGAAAAATAAGTTCCTTCAAGACTGCAGATATGACTTGCTGATGAGTGCTTCCAACAGGCAGGAAACCAAGGAGGTCCATGGCTTCTAATCGACTGTCTCCAATCATCTAACAATGTATTGTTGAATGAATTCGACATTAATGGAGGTCTTTCAAGCTATTTTGTCAAGAAATTAGAAAAGGTATGTCGACAACTTATGCTGTTTGAGGTTAGCAGAGAAAAAAGGAAGGCTTTACAATCAACTTGTGTCTCTTGTTATCGAATCGGTTATCCACTCATGGTCTAAGAAATGAATTTAATAACTTTTAAAAATAATTTCATTATGAAACATAAGATTATGGGTACAAAATTTTCTATTGTATGAGTTTCAGGGTTAAGATTAGTCTTTTAAAATAGTTACCAAAATAAAAATCTATCAAACTAAAAACTAGATGTTTAAACTGGTAGACTTCAATCTTTGATCTGGAGATGGATGTTATTTTTATTAGCATAGTTGAACTATCAAAGCATTTGACTGATATACGACATAAAATGGGACTGTATTCATCTATGAAGGGGGTTTTGTTTGAGTTATAGTGATTCGACAAAGTGTACCAGGGGTTATTGATTTATGTGTGAAGA